GTCTCTCTCTGTCAAATGAATAAATAAAATCTTTTAAAAAAATAAAATAAAATAAAATAAAATTCTTCCTTTATTCCCAGCACCTTCTCAAGAGCATGGGAAAGGTGTTAATCTTCTTAGTCAGACCCCTGAAAGCTAGCACGGTGCCTTACACACAGCAGCTGCCTAATAAATATTTGCCGGACTAAATTGTTGTGTTTAATTCAGGCATAAGAAGTGTTAAGATGCATAGGAAGGAGCCAGAAGTTTTCCTTGTTAGCTAGTATTCTTCCCTTCTGTGATACTGGCTTGGAAACAGGTTTGGTATTCCTTTTCCATTCTTGATACACAAGGACATAATTAATGATTGTAATAATTCCTCTTTAAATGGGATTTTCATTGGGCAATAAACACTAATATTTGATGATAATATATCCTTAAGGAGTAAATTCTTTGGCTTGGGAGTTCTTGTTCACCTCAGTCAGTGTGGTGTGTGTGCGTGTGCACGAGAGGACGTGCATGTAAGTGTGGGGTGTGTGTGTTGAGGGAAGGGAAAGAGGATTGGAGATGCTGAATAAATTCTAGACATGAGGTTCCTTCTTCAAAATCTCTCCAACTTTGTTCAGAATCTCTTGATTAATTTATTAGGAAACAACAACATTTCTGCTCTCTTTAAATATAATTCAGTGAACGAAGAAGCCGGTGAGAGAGAACCGTCTCCTTATTTCACAACCCCAACTTTAATGACCCTGAATAAACCAGATATTATGCCCTTCCAATCCCTAAATCAAGACAGAGGTCAACGAGACTTTCCAGTTAGGTACTGTGAAAAAAAAAGAGTAATGTGTGTTCAATGTCAAGAAAGCCAAGAGATTTTTGAAAGTGCCTAAGACAAACTCCTTTGAGGCGCCCCTCTCCCTATTCCTGCAAATTGAAAATGCAAAAATCTAATGAACAGTTGCAGATGTGTTGTCACTCAAATTAGCCAGCATGGGCAATCATCCAAGTGAGGGGAGAAGTATTCACGACCACAATGCCATGTCTAAAATACTCTCAGATGGAGAAACTGAGGGCAGCAAAGAGGTCCGACTGAGGATCTTCTCAATAAAACAGAATTCTCAGTAAGTCAGAAGGTTTGGAAATTCACAGTGGCATGTTCAACATCAGCTAAAGAATCAAATTTGGATAGAAGTATCGATAAACCCTTCAGACACTATTATTAAGAATCCTCCAGTCTCGCTGTGAATTAGCTCTGGCAGGATCCTGGCACCCCGTCCCAGGGCTGTTTCTACTTTCTCACAGGGCACTTCACTGTTTCCTGGGAAGCGTCTGCAAACCTCTGCCAGCCTCGGGCAGGAGCAGCTAATGCAGCTCCAGAGGCCTACATGAGCTCACTTGAACCACAGGTCTCTTTTTAAAATGTATCATTTTTGTAACTTAAATTAGACCGCGTCTCTTCCCTGCTCAGAACCCTCCAATGGCTTCCCAAATCACAATAAAATCCTATTGCTACGTAACCTACAGACTGACAAGATCCAGGCCCTGAAATCTGACCTCATCTCCTCCCTTTCTCGCCTCCTTTCCCCACCTGTGCCAAGCAGCTGCCCCCACCCCAGGGCCTTTGCACTTGCTGGTGCCACCAATCCGATCAGGCTCTCGTCCAAGAAAATCACACACCTCCTTCCCACCAATTTTAGCACCACCCTTGAACATCCCATCTAAAATTACACTCTCTAGCTCGTTGCCCTGATTTATTCCTTACCCGGATTTACTTTTTTTCTTTTTCTAAAAAGATTTTATTTATTTGAGAGAAAGAAGGAGTGGGGGAGGGGCAAAGGGAGAGGGAGAAGCAGACTCCCTGCTGAGTGAAGAGCCTGACCCGGGCTCAATGTGGGGCTCCAGGTGGGGCTCCTTGCAGGGCTCAATCCCAGGACCCTGAGATCATGACCTGAGCCAAAGTCAGACGCTTAACCGACTGAGCCACCCAGGCACCCCTGATTTACTTTCCTTTCAAAGCACTTATCATCTCACACATATACACACCCACAAAGTGCCATGTATATTGGTGTCTGTCTCTCCCCTAATAACATGTGAGCTCCAATGAAAGCAGAGGTTCTCTGTTTTGTTCACTGACGTATCCCCAGCATCTGCAACAGTAGGTGGTGTGTAGTAGGTGCTACGTAAGCATGTGTTGAAGGCTGGAGGCTCCATAACCCAATTTTATGTATTTCATTTGAATTCTCTGAAACTCTTCCACTGTAATTCATGCCATCAGCCATCGCAAAGTGTTCATGTTAGGGTCTAAGTCTAGTTCTCCGGGTCCACAGCTTGTATGTCCTTGTGAAAACTCCCAGTACATCTGCAGTTTGTTAAGGGAGGACAGCGGGTTCTGGGGAGTCAGGCTGCCTTTGCTTGGCTTTTAGCCCTGCCCCTTACAAGGAGCTCAGGCAAGATTGCAACTTCCCAGAACCCCATCTGTAAAATGGGGCTAATAACAGTAACTTCTTAAAGTACTTGTAAGGACTGAACAAGGCAATAATAATAGTAACAGCGATCATTAATTGAGCACACACCATGTGCCAGAGAGCCCACTGTGCATTTGACTCGCTTCACATTGTCCTGTCTTCGCAACAACCACGTGGTGTGGGCAGTATTATCATCCCAGGTTACAGATGAGAAAACAAACTGAAATCCAGAAAAGTGCCTTAGCTGAGGATATAAGAGTTGATGTATGAGTTTCTTCTGGCTGCTGTAACAAATTACCTTAAGTGTATTGTCTGAAAGCAACGCAAATTTAGGATCTCATGGTGCTAGAGGTCAGGAGTCTGACGTGGGTCTCACAGGGCTAAAATCGGGGTTTCTGCAGGGCTCTGCTCCTTCTGGAGGCCCGAGGGGAAGAATCTTTTCCTTTGCCTCTTCCAGCTTCTGGAGGCCGCCTGTATTCATCCGCTCATGGCCCTTTACTCCACCTTCAAAGCCAACAAGGTAACATCTTCAATCTCTCTTTGATTCTGACTCTCCTGCTTCCTTATAAGGACCCTTATGATTACACTGGGCCTGCTTGGATAAGCCGGGATAATCTCCCCATCTCAAAACCCTTAACATAATCACATCTGCAAAATCCCTTCATAAATTCTGGACGTCAGGATGTGAAGAGCTTCAGGAAGCCATTATTCCACCTACGGGTTACGAAGAGGCAGACCTGGGAGGTGAATCCCAGCTGACTTTTTGACCACTACACTTCTGTAGTACCCAGCAAGGCCTCTGGTTTTCAGCAAATCTTTGTCCCTTGCTGTAATGAAGGGAAAATGGGAAGCTTGGGGCCCAGGTTCGGGTTTTGGATAGGACATGAAACAGGAAGGTTCACCCCTTCTGCCCTGCTCCCCTGTAATATAGGATGCCAAAGATTCACAGCTCATTCTAAAAGTCACTTTCTCTTAAAAATAATCAGTCTCACCTCGTCCTCAAGCATATTATTGACTTTCAAGAAACTACAGACATATGATAAAAGTAGGTTGCAAAGTGGAAATGAAAGCCTTGCTTAGAGACAGGCTGCACCTCCCATGGGGGTGAAGGGCCCAGGCAGTCCAGAGTGGACCTGGAGCCAGGACGCCCCACGGTAAGAGGGCAGGTGAGGAAGAGCCTATTGATGCCCCACAGGTGCTGGACCAGCCTGGGGGTACCTAGCTCAGGGTGCTCCAGTGAGGCACACACAGCCCAGTGACACAGATGACCTGGGACAGGAAGGGAGGTGGCCCGGGTCTTAGCAACAAGGACTGTGGAAATGTCAGCAAGCAGCAGAACACCAGGAGGCAAAGGGACAGGGCCAGTGAGCCACGTGTCAGCCACACGAGGGAATGATGCGCAGGCCCCCAAGTCGGGCTGGCGGCCTCTGATGGTTTCAACCTCTCAGGGTCTGGAAGGAGCTGGGAGGCAATTCCACGGCCCAGCAAATGAAACAGTTCGGGACAGAACCCTACTCCACCTGGGCGGCAAGGACACAAGGCAGAAGCCTTACGTGGGTACAGAAGAAGAGGGAGGAGACCAGAAGTTGGGAACGGATGGCAGTTTGGGGAAGATGAGGTATCCACAGCTCAGCAAGACTCCCAAATCTGTGGCAGTTGAACTCTGTCCAGACCTCACCTCAAGGGGCACAGGGCTGTCCCTAAATAGACACATATTCCCTCCTTCCACTTGAGGCCGGGTCATGAGCTGCCATGGTAGAGAGGGCTCAGTGCCTCCAGGTGAGCAGGACTGAGGACAAGGCCACAAGCACACTTCCGCATGACAGGTCATGACCACCATGACCTTGAATTTTAGAAGGAGGTACCCATTTGCATTATTCTGACACTCACCTTAAAAGTATACACCTCTAAAGAAATTAGAGGTAAATAAACACGTGGGCTCTATGTTTTTGCGACCAAACAATAATAATAATAATAATATAGATTGTGTGCTATAGATGTAATTTCCTTAATTATCCATCTTAGGTGACCATAGAATTTGTGGTCCAAACTGCGGCACTCTGAAGGGGAAAGAGAGTGTTTTTGCTAATATGCCAGGTCAACGGGTATAACAAACAGATATAACCTCTGAGCCCCAAGCTTCAGTCACATGCACCAAGGTCCCTGGGGGAGCTGCCTTTTCTGGAAACACAATAATGTAGAGGGATTATTCAATGTGGATAAGCTTCCTGAAACCTCAGACATTCTTACTCCTTTTGCCAGGAAGATAAGAAACCTCAAAGTAAGATTCCTTATAAGGATGTGATGCCTACACTCTGGCCACGGAGTTAAATTCACATGTGTTTCTTTCTCCAAGAGATGATTAGTATTTGAGAGCTGCAGGTCCCACCTCGTAGCCTGATTTCCCTTTGTGATGTTTTCCTAAAATGGGTGCCTGTCTTCTCTGTTGTGACTCCCCAGGTTCATATGGGAACCATGAGTGCACAAGAAAATCTCCCTTGCCTGAGTCTGCTCTAAATGCAAGTTGTTCAAACGAGGGTCCGTTTCATAATTATAGTGAGCCATGATACCTATGTAATGGATTGAGACCTACATATTCCTAACAATAACATAACATTGACTAGATTAAAAAAAAAGAAAAAGAATCACCTTACATCATAAGGATAAGAATTATTTTATGGCATATTTTGTCAACACTACCTGTGGGGCTATGTGATATGGTTAGGACTTAAAAATGCACTTCCTAGTGTGGGTTGCTATCAAAGTGTTAGATATTTGCAGATTTCCTTTCTCCTAAACCCTCACAGTGCCCAGGGCACCTCACTTCCTCCTACCAGCCCCTCAGATGTCTTTCTCTCTCTGCAGAAGGCTACTTGATCCCTTAGGCTAGAACCAATGAAACAGTTACCTACTAGATCAGTTGTACATACGTGAGTCTTTGTGAAAAAAAAAAAAGAAAAACAAGGGGCACTGGGTGGCTCAGTAGGTTAAGCATCTTATTCTTTTTTTTTTTTTTTAAGATTTTATTTATTATTTGACAGAGAGAATGAGAGAGAGAGAGCACATGAGAGGGGGGAGGGTCAGAGGGAGAAGCAGAC